CGCCACCTTAGGTGTATGTGGCTGGCGCCTTAGCCGCTTGAGCCACAGGCGCCGAGCCGACCCAGTCATCTTAATTCTGATCCTCCATGCTACACTAGGATGGGGTGATGAGGTGATCAGGGTCTTGTTCATAAGGGGGAAGTTTTCAACCCATGGGCAGAGAGCTTGGTTTCTGTGAGAACCATTTTCAAGAGGGGATGGTCCTCCAGCCATAGGCCAGCCTAGGTGACCATAAGTACTTTTTCTGTATAAAAGATAAAGAAATCTGGAAGACATGGTGACTGTCCTTCAATAACCTCTTGCCTGGTTGGAGAGACAGCTTAAAATCTATGCACTTTTTATGCCATGTTTAAGAGTGTACTACATGAGGGCAGCATCTGTGATTCAGTGGGTAGGGCACCAGCCCCATATACCAGAGGTGGCGGGTTCGAACCCAGCTCCGGCCAAACTGCAACAAAATATAGCTGGGCATTGTGGCGGGCGCCTATAGTCCCAGCTACTCGTGAGGCTGAGGCAAGAGAATCGCCTAAGCCAGAGTTGGAGGTTGCTGTGACCTGTGATGCCACAGCACTCTACTGAGGGTGATAAAGTGAGACTCTGTCTCTAATAAAAAAAAAAAAAAGAGTATACACATGAAACAATCTAAGAATATACAAGACCATGTAAAAGGAAATATCAACACATTTGATGTAAACTAGACATTGCTAGAATACATAGGGGAAAGCAAGATCAGTGAAAATCAGGCAGCCTGAGTTATAAAGTATGGGTAAAATAGAGAAAAGAAGGCACCATGAAGCCGTATGATCCCATGGAGAAAAAGAGTATGAGCCTTGGAGTTGAACTGTGCACTTGTCACTGACTATCGCTGTGACTTTAAACAATTTACATAACTTCTCTAAGGCTCAGTTTTTTCATTTATTAATTAGGAATAACAACATAACAGCCTATTATGGTTCTTGTGAGGGGAGTAGTTGTAAAGTTCCTGGCACAGAGCTGGGCACATGGTAAATTGTTCAATAAGTTGAAACCATTATTTT